ATGGGTTCAGTTCTTCCTTATCTTCCAATTTTTTATAGTATTTCCTTAGCTTTAACTTCCACACAAATTGGTATTGTCTTTTCGATTGCACCTTTTATTTCCGCCTTGAGCTGTCCTCTTTGGACGGGTCTGGCTGATAAATTTCAATCACATCGATTCATCATTATTATACTTTATTCTTTGGCGACCATTAGTGTTGTTGGTCAAATGATTTTGCCATTAATAATTGACGTTCATAATTCAAGTAATAATGGTCTTATAGTGACTTGCGTGTTATTTGCTGCGCTGTGGTTTGCTTTTTTTGGTGTACCTGTTAATGCATTAGTCGATAGTGGTGTACTGAAGATTCTCGGTGATAAAAGAGAACTTTATGGTATGTCGATCTTCGTAATAAGCGCACTGAGTACTTAGGTTATTTATTTAATATAATACGTGATTTCTTTATAATTTAATAAGGTCAACAGAGATTATGGGGATCTGTCTCATACGGCAGTAGCACTTTAATAATTGGCCTTTTATGGAGTGCTGCGAATAACATCAATGTTGTCTTTTACTACTTCGTTGGAAGTGCAATATTATTTTTACTCTGTACTCTTTGTACTGATTTCAATCAGTTTGTAGATGATTTTGAAATAATTACAACACGTTCCAACGACATTTCTTTCAAACCATTGGTTAGTCTCAATGATGATGATGATGATGTCGCGTCTAGTTCGAGAGGCAGCACTAAATTTAACAATAATAGATCCACAGTTAATCTATCCTCCCATGTCGGTGAATCTGATGGTGATGATTCTTCGATAGATGAGGATGATGATGAGATGTTGGTACCTGACCTAGATATTTTGGCATTTCCACCAACATCGCTTAATCTTCCTACTGCCTCATTTGCAAGCAATCCTACTTCGTCAATGAAGACGTTACTTACCAATCCTTCAGTAGTGACTTTATTAATAATCATGTTACTAATGGGGACTGCATTTGCCATGAGTAACGCATTCTTATTATTATTTCTTAATAAAGAGTTGGAAGCTAATTCGATAGTTCTTGGTTTAACGGGTCCACTTAGTGCTATTTCTGAATTATTGTTTTTCTTTTATTCAAAAGAGGTAATTTTTACCACTTGTTATTGCATTGCATATTTATTTTGATAATTTATTTCGATATTTATTCCTTTTTTTTAAACTAAAAAATTTATTTCAATTTTATCTTTTAGTTAATATCTCGTTTCGGTATTTGTTCATTGGTTTTTCTTGCTCATATTGTAACGATAATACGATGCTCGACGTATATATTTTTGCAGAAAAACACAATTTCATATGTATTGGCGCTTCTGGCTCAACTCCTAAATGGTATTGGCTTCTCCGCTTTGTGGATTTCTGGTGTCACACATATAGCTAATAGTTCTCCACCTAGTCTCATTTCATTTTCGCAGGGTGTCATGACTGCCGTATATGCTGGCTTTGGTACTGGTTTTGGAAGTTTGTTTGGTGGTATTTTATATGATAGTGTAGGTGGTCCAAGAGTTATGTTTGGTGTTGTAGTGGGCATTAGTATTGGAAGTTTAATTGTGTATTGGTGGGGGGAAAATGGGTTTAAAGTTAATGTAAATCATTTTGGTGGTAGAAGACGTGAGCCAAGATTTCCTTGGCAAGATGTACCTGTTGGAGGAGGTCAGATTAATTTGGGGAGGTCTAAAAGTACTTTGTCTATTGAAGTTTCAAGACCGGCAAAAAAAGGTAGATACGAATTATTATCACAAGATGATGATGATGAACAATATCATTACGGCATATTCGGGGAAGGGCGATTATGAATTTTAATTTAATGTGCTTTTGAAATTCATCATCATCTTATTCTTAGAATTTTCAAAATCAATTTTTTTTTTTTTTTTTTTTTAGAAAAATTGTTTAATAATTTGTAGATATTCACGACTTATATTTAAAAAAAATTGATACTTCTAGACTAATTAATGTCTGGACTAATTAATGTTAATTTCAATAAAAATATAGATATTTAATATATGTAAAGAGATTTACTTCTAATACATAATTAAATTTACATGAATAAATATTTTTAGATCTTAGAATAAAAAAGTCTGTTATATACAAACGTTGTAAGTGGGAATGGAATCATAATATAGTTCGGAATCCACTTAGATTAGAACAGAATAATTATACTAAAATCCCAACCCTAACCTTAAAAATTCCGACCTATGAAATATATATTTATATATTTATTTCATTTTTGATACTAATAAAACGATTGCTTTTAAAATCTAAACTTTATATTTCATAATCTTTGTTTAATCCAATTTTCTAATCCACCAGCTACCCATATCTCTTGAACACTTCTTCCTAATACACCAACCCTAAATTCATTATCCACACCATTCAAACCTTTAACCAATACCTTACCTTCAGCAAATTTAATTTCGACATCTAAATGTGTGCATATGGTTTTTTCATCTAGCTTGTAAGAACTTTTTAAAAGTTCCACAAGTTCAGGTGATTCAAGGCAAATCAAGGCATTATTTATCGAATTCCGTTTAAATGTCTGAGAATAAGTACCAGCTATAAGAAGTGATACGCCACAAGCTTTAATTGCAGTGGCAGCTTGTTCTCGAGATGATCCTGTCCCAAAATTAAATCCTCCAACCAGAATGTCACCCTATTAAAGTTGATTAATATATAAAATTATATGGAAATCATTACAAATATTGGAATATACTAAATACCTTAGAAACTATGCTTGCGAATTTGGGATCATAATTTTCCATGACAACTTTGGCCATTTTCTCGACTGGAAAATCATCCACATAAGTATATTTGCCAGGATATATTCCGTCTGTATTTAAATTGTCTGCTGGGCAAAATAATAATTGTCCTTTAATAGTATCTGGGAATCCTGGTACAATTGAATCATTACTGATCGTTGAATTTTCGATATACTCATCAGGAGGGTTGAGGGTATAAGATATTTTTGGTGTTGGTGGTGATGAAGTAGAGAGATAGGCTGGATTAGCGATCTTTCCAGCTACAGCAGAAGCAGCAACAACAGCTAATATGTTTTAAATTATCATTAGTGCAACTAATATGGGAAAAAAAAAATGTATAAGAATTTTGCAATTAACCTGGAGAAGCAAGATAGGCTAACGCATTTGGTGACCCCATTCGACCTTTAAAATTCCTATTAGTTGCCGAAATACCAACTTCACCGTCTTTTAAAAGGCCAGTACCAAGCCCTATTAGGTAATAACTTATGAACTTATTAGTGAAACATCATCAATGTATCCAAAGAGAAAACAAGTGTTAACCCACCAATGCATGGCCCACAACCAGCAGGTAAAGTCCTTGCGCCCGCATTGACGAGTGTTTGCCAATCACCACTCGCTTCTGCATCTTTTTGTACTTCGCTGCTTGCAGCTGCTATATAAAACTCAACACTATCTGCCACTTTTTTTCCTTTAATAACATGAGCAGCGGCTTTTAAATCCCCTGCGCGAGAGTTAACACATGATACAAGGTATGCTTTATGAATGGCGATATTTTTTTTTTCAAGTTCAGCAAGGGATGTTGAAACTTTGACAGAATTAGGACCAGAAATATATGGCGAAACTGTTGAAAGGTCCAAGGTCAAATGTTTTGCATAATATGCACCCGGAGATGGTTGTATAGGATTTTTTTCAATATAATCAATTCTTGAATGGTTAATCCTAGGATGTTCAAATGGTCGATCAGACGATGTAAGTTTCAAATTTTTATTTTCGAATTTTGAAAGTTCTAATTTGTCAACCCTATTTCTGAGCCATTGAATAGTAATTTCATCAACGGGAAAAACACCAGCTAATGCACCCCATTCGGTGGTCATATTAGCAATTGCTAATCTATCTTCTAAACCTATTCCACGAATACTTTCATCACCGGTAAATTCAATCGCACAATTCAAGACCTCATCATTATTAAACATTCCACACAAAGTAATTATAATGTCCTTGCCAGTTACACCATTTTGTAGCTGCCCTTTAAATTCCACATTCGCAACAGGAGGTATCTGCCACCAAGTTTTACCAGTAGCCCAAATCGCAGCAGCATCAGTTCGAACAATAGGTGTTCCCAAACAGCCAATTCCACCATACATATTAGAATGAGAATCAGATGCTACAGTCATGGTATACGGGAACGCGTAACCTTCTTCGATAAGAACTTGATGGCCAATTCCACGTCCAGCAGGATAAAAATCAACATTTTGAAGTTTTGAAAATTCTTCGATGGACGCGTATTTTGCTAAATTCTGATATAAATTATATAAATTTGACACTAAATTACAAACGCTCTTGAAGAATATAATTAATTGAATATTTTAAGGTACCTTTTCAGATTTATTTTGAACATCGTGATCAAGAGTGAATACACATTGCTTCGGAAATTTAATCTTTTGTGCACCAATACTCTGAAACCTAAAAATTGAAAGTCAGAATATTTTACTGCCTGCAGTGATATGCAAGTATATAACCTACTTTGTTCTTACTGCAGCTGTATTGTCGTGGGTCATTACGTGTTCAGGTTGAATTGTCACGAAATCACCACTTTTGACTTTCTGACCAGGAGATAAGTCTTGTGCATATTTTTGTACAATTTTTTCTATAAGATTTTGTTTGCGTTCTTCTGAGGCATAAAAACGACGATTGATAAATGGACAATTGATAGGTTTAAATACAAAATGCCTTTGTCTTGTATTAAATAAAATTGCTCGCGTCAATGAGGTAGGCATCTTTTTTTTTTCAACGTACTAAACAATAGCGATAGTACGACATATCGATATATATCCGTTTTTAAGAACCCGAAAACGTAAAACCATTGAATCATTAGAATCATGTGAATAAATATAGATTTATTTTTTTTTATTTGCATATAGTGAATTGATAACGATAGCATACAATTTCTCGAAGAACGGAATTCAATGCACCCATTGCTTTCTTCCTATATTTGGCGTTTTATTTTAGGATCCATTTATAGTTGGTTTTGATTACGTTGCATTCCTGGATACGTGAATATGTGATTAGATAATGGAAAGGAATTCTTACGAATATTCATTTAAATATTAATTTAAATATTCATTTATAAATATTCATTATAACTTCTAATTGTAACTTTTCATCTCTGTTATTATGTTCAGTCACGTTTTTAAAATCTGACTATTGTATTAAGGCAACTTTTTAAGAAGGAGAATATGAACAAAAAAAAATAACACTCTAATAGAAATAGTTCGCAGCAGCTCTATTCACGGTTCGAAAATTTAAAAAGTGAACCCGAATACAGGAATAATAATAAAGCTGTACTAGTATGCATATATTCATGTGACTGCCAATCAAAATTTTATCAATTGATAATTTTCGGTATCGCATCTACAATTGATGTAGGATATAGCATCCACAATTTACATATCATTAAACCTTTTTATTAAATGAGAATGAACAGATTTTCGACTCGAACGAATTTATACCGTTTACGCTCAGCCGGCTTTTCCATTTTTCATCAACAAGTTAATAGAAAATTACCAGTACTTGCAACTTCATTAACCAAAATCAAGATCATTCCTTCTCAAAGTCTTTATTCTACAACAGCCGGTCTTTCTCGTAGCAATATCGAGACTAGGATCATGGAAATTCTCAAAGCTTTTGATAAAGTAGACTCCTCAAAGGTATGAAGATTATATAGAAAACTAAATGATAAATCATTAGTATGAACTTAAAAATTTTGGTTATTCCTTCAAATTTAGTTTATCCGTCAAGAATTTCTTTTT